TGGTCCAATCAGAATATCCATCAGTCCAATTGTCATGGGACTACAGTCGCTAATAATATTCTCCAAGAGGGGCAGCTTATCAATTCTTTGGCCATTTTCTTAGCTCGGGGACTTTTTCCTGCAATCTCTTCTTTTGCATCACGTCACGCGCACATCGTAATTTATCAAAAAAAATGAGAATGATGCAAGATTAAATTGAAAAACGCCTGGTCATAAATACACTTATTATCATCAATGGCTTCGTGGTCCGACCCCATTAATCTTTGGAAGGGCATTTACTGTCGCGTTTATACTGCGCTTTACTCACTGGTTCTGCATTGAAGATTGATGATAACTGACCAGCTTCGGCATTCAAACGTTATCTCTTTTAAAGTAGTTTAGAACTTTTTTCTCATTCGAATACTTTAGCTTAGAAGCTTTAGATGCTGACTTTTCAAATGCTTTCCTTTTGGACAATGGCGCATAATTGCTGCTTAGTTCAATTTTCACTCACTTTTACCCATCATCGTGCAAAAAGTTCTTATCGTTCCAGTTGCCTTGCATATTTGACTAGAAATCAGCCCATTTTTATGCTCAGCTGCAACCTGCCCTGTTTGGCTATAACTTCAACAAGAAATTATACCCATTAAACATTGCAACATTTACTCGGAACATAATTCGAACATTCTTGAAGCTAATTTATGTACATGTTGTTATTCGATGAAGTAATTTGCATTACCATTTCCGTTCGTTGATAGGACACAAATTGCTGAATAAAATAAATAAAGTTGAGTATACTGAAAGTGATTACGGCCCGGCATAACGTTTACATGCAATCAAATAGGCAAGTGTTGTAATTGTGTCAGAAGAAGATACAGAACTGTCTGTAATGGCAATGGATGCTTGGTATCACTTGCTAGGTATTAGAACTGAAATCTTGACCTGGAAAATCACACAAAGCTGCAACAGTTCTCATCTTTTCTTCAGTTCTGATAAAAAGATAAATTAATGATATTGCTGAGAGGTAAAGTGAGGTGGCATCAAAGTGAACGAATGGGTAAAGAAGACTAAGGCTTTCGAGGTTATTGCTTGAAACTACGCAGTTTTGCAGGGTTACGTTTCATAAGCACGAGTGCTTTGCATCTTCAGAGATGCTTCGTATCCGTTCTGAAGAAACACTGCTTCTATATGTTCAAATTTGGTTTCCAGATTTTCACCCAGTTTCTTGCCAATTTCAAGCAATCGTCGCTCTTTTGAGGAAGCTCTCTGGTAAATTCGTTCATTGGTCTTATTGTTTGGGGACAATATCTGTTTTTAAGGGATTTTATTATTTTTGCTATTGTCTTTCAAATCAACGTTAATTTTTCATTGCAATACTGAACTGATAACCAGAAACTGAATTTTATTCATATTTTACATATGATTCAATATACACCTATCCACAGTGGGAAAAAGTGAATAAACTTTTGTTTAAAAATATCTTAAAAAGAGCTCTATGTGAGCAAAATATATCAATTTCAAAGGTAACTAAAAAAACAAGAAACAACTAATTATAAATAAGTCATAAATTTCGAGGGCATTACGAGTTAAAAATGTTCAGTTCAATTTCCTCGTCCCAGATGACAAAGATAGTGTTCAGAAACGAAAAATGTTTAAATATTCAATACAATCAACATGAATAAAAAAGAACAATGAACGCACAAAAAGACTAAACACATAAAACTTGTCTTACAAAATATGATCCAAAAATCAGATTTGTGTACAATTTACTAACATCTTAATATTGTTTCTTAAATCCCAGGCAAGAAGACTAGTTTTCAACCGAGTTCAAAACATGTTTGTTTTCATCAATAGAAAATGTTTTAAACATGATAGGCGTTAATTTTTGAAGCTGCTTTTTCCTAAAAGATTTGCAATCATTTGCATTTAATTGAATATTTTTTTATATTTGCTATCAAAACTGCCGTTTGGTAGTCGCCGACTATAAAATCCCTTGCCCCAGGACTAAAGAAAATATTCATAAAACATATTAAGTTTAAATCGCAAAAATAACTTTTGAAACTGATGCTGTTTTATCCTAAAACATTTTATTGTAATTTGCATTTAATTGATTTTTTTTTACGTTTGTTAGACTTCTTTAGACCACTTTTTTATACTTTTGTTGGGTTTTCCTTAATTCATTTAATCTTACGATCATTTTCACTCCCTTTTCAATGTATTCCCTTTGATTCATTTTTCTTTTATTGCTTCTTTCATTTTGTGTTCAAAGTTGCTAAGTTCCATAAGATATATTGCTGAAATCCACCCATGACATGAACAAGTAAAAATGGCGATGTAATAACTAAAATTATTTATAATATAATGTAGATAATATTATATATTATTATGCATAATTTTTACTTCTAGTTGTTGGCCCAATTTTCTTAGATCCTACTCAGTGCAAAAGGCACAATTTGACTCTTCAATAAATTGTCATTAATTTTTATTTCTTTCGCTGTTTTGGTTTATTTCAGAAAAAAAATTTTTCAAACCCCATTCACGTTTCATGGTTGCATCCAATTTTTTCATTATAGCCACATTAAACCTGACAACAAATTGCCTTCTTAGTCAGAATTCCATCCTGCACTTTCGTCTTTCGGTTTAACATGTTAAATAAATGAGGCATTTTAAAGGCAAACCACGGCACCGAGCCGAATAATGAACTGTAATATGCCTATTAGTCTTCGGTAAACGATTACAATAATTGGATAATTTTTGAAAACTGATTTAAATCATTTGGTTGCTTTGTGCAACCTGAAAATCCGGAAAACGCCCGTTCAAGGTACCATTTTATTTAGGTGGCTCATTAATTCTTTACTTAATTAATTAAAACTCGCGTCGATCTAATCGGTTTTCCCGTTACTTTGCTCTATCTGACCAGTTGTTTAATTGCAGAAAACTGAAATAATCGGAATCGAGAAGAATAATGGAATGTTTTCGAAGACTCTTAAACCTCTTCACCACTTAGTGGGAAAATAAATACCTGTGCAAATGCTAACAGAGTATAGCTAGATTATTGTCGGTTATCAGCTGTAATATCAAATCGACCAAACGAAATCAACAAGCAAAGTAATTTACATAAGTAAACCACATTAAAGGATTGGCTTTACTAACAAAGGTATCGAATATCAGCCAAATAATATTCGAAACACTCGAAAGTTGTAGGCCTTTTAAATTCGGTTGACCGCAGGTAAAAATGCCGAAGCTCCATAATTTATTTAATAATCAACTATCATTAACTATCAAAATTACCTTTTGGTGGTCATATATAAAATCACTTGCCTCAGGACTAAAAAAATCACAAAACATATCAAATTTAAATTGCTAAATTCCAGTTTTAAATTTATGTTGGGTCCCGGAGTTTCGTGTTATTTAATCCAAAGAACTGTATATTTGGCAATAGCATTCCTGCATATTATTATTACGTGTGGCTAATACATAAAACATCAATATGTCCATTAGAGTTATGGTAATACGCTAAGTCAGGTGTTAGTTGACAAAGCTGATTTACCAGACAAGTCGTTTTTCGCAAAACTAGTTCTGGACCTGATTGAATTGAGAAAATTGTTCCGCTAATCCAATCGCAAAGTTCACAGTTCTTTCAGTGTCCGTCCATTCAAAGTGCATTGTTGCATATTCGATCTTGTTTGATCTCGCCTGCCTTCTATGAAAACAACCAGCTGCCGAGTGTTCAGTCTGCTAAAAAGATACTTTGGATGCAGCGCTCATTCGCTCCGAATACGTGACTAATTAAAAATGTTAATCGTGTAGTTGAGATGCAAAGAAAATTATCGTTTCTTTAATAGGTAGCAGTTAGCAAAGGGCAATTCTGTCAGTAGAGAATCTCGCTGGAATCCACTTGTTCACTCTTAAATATAATTCGTGCTTCTTGAGTTGGCGTTTTAATTCACTTTTACTTCTTCACTGCTAAGCATCGATTTGTTATATGTTTTCATGTTTTATAAAGAGATGATGAAATTTATATAAATAAGGATTCTGGTCTGATAAAATTTACTTTGTATGCTTGATTACTATTATATTCCAGTATATTTAAAATATACATAAACACGCGTATAATTTCACCGATTTTTAAGTCAGACGCTTTGAGTACTCTTTTTATACTTAGACAAACTTTCTCGTACATTTTTAAAGAAGTGTATATATTTGATCTATTTTTTTGTTTTAGAAATTGTAATAAATCGTTTTTCGTGCATCTCGTGCTAATATTCGTTAAAATAAGCAAATAAAACTCGAATTATTTGCTTGAAAAGATATATAAAACTGCGCGAGGAAATTTTCTAGTTTTAAAATTCTAATGATGTTTTCTCTGATCTGCGAAAATTCTGATATGGATTAACTCTACTACCGATGGGAACAATCGAATTGTTTTTGTAATAGAGAGTTTACTCGCATTTGATAATCAATATAATTATTCGAATTATTCATTCGATAATTTTCTTGGTGTCTTTTGTCGGCACTCGAGCCTTTCTGTACCCCAAAATATTGCGGTCGTAGAGAACATATCGTAAATCTTTCTGTGATATCAATAAAAGCATCGACTTCAGACTTCTCTTTATTTGTGAATACGAATTAAACTAAAGTGGTGTCTAAATAATAACAAGTTAACCGATTGATTAATAAAATTATTTTTTAATGGAATAACTCCAGATATTTAAATCGAGTCGCTCCATCACTAAATGTAGTAATTCTTTGCCTCGTGGATTCAAATCAGGCTGTCAGGATATCCGTTTCATATGACTAACTATTTCTGCAAGCTCGAGTGCAATTTCTGAAATGAGCATCTGATTTTTTGCAATAAATTGTGCAAATCGCAGTTGTAACAACCAGAACCCAACTGCTTGTTAACCCGATTTTTTTTAAATTACGTGTTTTAACTAGTTTTAATATACCAGGAATTTACGCTCTACCGCTTTACACAATGATAGCTTCTTTAGAATCCTCATTGGTTTATTATTACTTACTTTAGACTGAAGCAGTTTTCTGAACCCCTCGCGCGTATACTTCTGATCCCGATTGACTATTTCACCTGCCAGTCTCAGTTGAGCCAAATGCAGGCGCTCCCTCAGATTCTCCTCCTCCATGCTGCTCATCGGCACCAACGATCTTCTCCTTATAACAGTGTCTTCATCGATTTCCTTGCACGAATTTTGGCTGCACGATGGAACGTCTTCGTAACTTTCGTGATACGTACCGACTCCTATAGAGCGCGACTGAATGCCGATTGTGTTTTTGGGAATCGGTTGATCTTTTATTAGATCCAAAGTTTGAGCTCTGATTCCATTCGCCTCCAGTCTGGATTCTGGAAATACCGAAAAAAATGAGGTTGTTTTTGCGGATTTACAATGAAGTTTTGCGTGGCGGTACTTCTGAGAATTTTCATTTATTTTGAAAAAGTGGGTTGGTGTTTATTGAAAATATTTGCTTAAGCTTTTTAATAAAAGCAAGAGCATTTTGATTACTTAATGCAAAGGAATGATAAATAAATATTAAGGGCAGGTTTAATTATTTTAAAATCAAACTAAGCGAATTTTACGAATTGTTGCAACTACAATCGATCGGCCAGAAGACAACATTTGTGGAACTGATTCCTAGACAATAAAGATAAAAAGCTGCAATTTAATTAAGTGTTTGTCTTTGGATTAAGTAGTATTAATGAAACATTGAATACAAACAGGAAAAATATTCATGATGTTTATGAGATACTTTTTTTACCAATTTTTGTAGATACTTTTGTTGTGTTAACGTTGATCTTATTTTCAGTTTTGAAACTTGTTTGCTTTTTGCATTACTTGCTTGATGATTATGTGGTTATTTGAACTATTATTGAGTAATAATGCTGATACAATAACAAACCACACTGCAGAAGAAAGTGAGCAACAAAATTAAACGCAGATTAAATTACTATAAACTCAAAACAAACCTAGCTAATAAATATAATATTATAAACAAAATTATTATTATTATTACTATATGAATTTCCTATTTTTGTTTGCGGATGCATTCAGTTAATACATCAAACGTATCAATATTGACAAAAAAACGTCTTTGACGCCCACATCAGAAGAATTTAGAATATCTCGGAAAAGTTTTAGCGATTCCAAAAAACAGTAGAACGGTGAATTAAGAAGACATTAATAATAATTCAGAAAAACATCATGCATTAACCCCACTCCATATCTTTTCATAATTAAAAAAAACTGCCATTGTTCTATTGAAACAGTATTGTAGTATTTGCTTAACTAAATCAATCGAATATTCATGGATTCATTCGCAATTTTATTTTGTTCTCAGTTTATCTGTTACGTTGTTTTATAAAGCTAAATCTAATCACATAAAATGTGTGAACATGTTCTACATTTTTCTCAATTAAACTTTCATCCAATAAAAATGGTGTTGTGGTCTACGTTCAAAAATATTTCCGCGGATTTTCAGCATATTTATGATTGCAAAATGTAAACCAATTGAAAACTACACCTTAAAATCCACTGGGTTTTCAGATGTTTCAAGAACTTTTAACGGGAAATCGCCTAGCGCATTCCCAGTGTGCCCAGTTTGCACCCCATGCAATGGAAGTATAATTCCCACGTATAAAATAAATAACATTTCACAAAATTTTGAATAAAAGAGTGAAAATTTCAAAAATGCAAAACATTTATTAAATTGGGTATACCTTTCCGGTTCATGTCCTGAGCATTAGCCTTAAGTACCGTAGGTTGAAAAACATTGATAAGAACATGTCCATTTCCCTCATTATCCGTGCAGTCCGCATTGCTTTCACTCTCATCCCCACGATCGGTCTGAGTCGATCCCGCAACAAATTCCGGCTCAGACATGTTCAGAAACTTTCGCTCATAGAGTCAACTTTCACACCGAATTAAACCCCGTTTGACATGCGCACTAATCCGCTAAAAAAGCACGATTTAATGAAGAAGAATTCTTCAAAGTTAATCTAAGATCGCTGGCTCTGGTGGTCAATAAGCGGCAAACTGTTAAGAAGCTGACATCGAGATCGTGATAGGTTGTTATTGCCGTTCACTTGCTTTATGGGGTGGGAACTATGTGCCTCCTTGAGTTTTGGTGCGCTCGTCAGTGGTTCCGGCGGCCAAGAATGGTGCTGTGGAGTGCTGTTCTTTAATGGTGCATTCAGTGTTCGATCAAGGTTAACTTGAGCGATTTGCCAAGATTTGCCCTTGTCGAAAATCGAAAGTTACGTAAAGGGGAGGTCCCAACTTGTAAATTCTGCAATCGAATTTATGGCCACTATTAAGAAATGGCCGCCATCCGACCCACGGGGGGATAATTACTCTAGTTATTTCTTTTTTCTTCGTACAGTGTTCTTGATTATTTTTCAGTGCTTTAATTGGGTCAATAACGTAATAGTCGGACTCTAGAGCATAAGTTACCAATGGCAGAAAGCGCCTCTGAAAACTGTGATATAAAATCTGGCTAGTCTTGACCGACTAATCAAAGATGTGGACATTTTCGGGTATCCAACCCCTTACGAGATGTGTTTTTATTACTGCAGTTTTTCATCATTTTAAGCCTGTGGAAAAGTTGTTTTTATAAGTATTTCTAGATTTATTTTCAAGCAGTTTTTGTTTCCAAAATATTTTTTTCGCCGTTGTGCATGTAAAAATGTATTTATTTTAATTCTGTATTTATTAAACAATTTAAGTGAAAAAATTGGTACTTGCGGAGAATAATTAGTTATCCCATACGGAGTATTTGCAAAAAACATCAAGCTAAATGTTATATACAGTGAGTCCCAGAAATAATGTCTAAACTCATTTAAAGTACAGTGGTGTGTATTTGGCGAAAAATTGGGATCCGAAAATTTTTATCTTGAAACATGGTTTGTCACGGTAACTAAATGTGATCCAAAAATGAGTTACGACGAACAACTAAATTTTTTCGAACAGGACTCGAGGAATTTACGAGGTAGAAAAATATTTTCCAAAATAACAAGAAAGTCAATGGCACACATTTTGGCCGTTTAATTTGATTTTTGCTCTGTTTCTTAAAATAATCATCGCTATTGATAATTGATATTGGTTCAGTCGCAAATTTTATCAGTAAATGTTGCGTTGAAGTATAGCAAATGTTAACTAAATCATTGTAGAATTGAAAACTGAAATTAACAGCAGGTGCTTCTATTTGAAAAAAATAACTTCCTAACTTATTTTTAGACCACCCTGTATAAACAAATTTGGCAAAAATTCGCATTGGCAAGCAAAAAAATGACTGGTCCAAGCTTTTTGCCAAAAAAGCTGCATGCCAAATCTGCTCAATTTCTTTACCGGAACCGATTTTACTTGTTGTGAACTGTTACTGTGCATTTCATATTTTGAAGTTTAATAATGAATTAAAAGAAAAACAAAACATTTTAATAATTAATTAAATTAATAATAAATAAAAGTACAGGAATAAAGGCAGTCGAGAAATGTTTCCTTTGGAAATCATCGAACCTAGTTTTAAGAAAAGGTGCAAAATTTCCTGTGGGCCTAAAAAGTTCTATTTACTTGAGAAACTTGTGACCCAGATATATGTGTTTCCTCTTTGTATTCTCTCAATATTTGTAAATTGCTTCTAGTATTATTTCTGTTTTTATTATTTTTATTATTTAATAGGAAATGTGATGAACTGTTTAATTTTTGCGATCAACCGAACTCACCAAAACTAACCATAAAAACCCAAAAATTATGTTTAATAACTGGAAAATTTACTTTTCAAACAAGTCACATTTACGGTAAGATTTGCAACAATTTAAAACACTATCTGTTGTTGTAAATTTTTAATTTTGGGTGCTTTTTTTCCGGAAACCTGAAATCAATTTCCTTAATCAGTAACTACCTTCTTATTTTTGTATTTACTTTGAAAAGGTGACGGTTTTAAACAATGTAAAATTGCAGTTTCAACTTCACGATTTTGTTAGAAAAAGACCCTCATTTCTACAAAGCTGAAATTTTCAATAATTTTGCTTGCGGTTATTAACAAATGTGGTTAGTGACAAATTGATAAAAATGAAAACTTGAGCGCAATTTTCTAAATCAGTCCGTATTCTTGAAATTTGCTTTAAGAGTGCGACGCTTTACTAAGCAAATTGGTACGGTCTAGTCTCCATTCTTTGAAGTCACATTCGCTCCTTTTGATAATTTATTAAAAGGGTCTGCGGTGAAAAACAATTTCTTCCTGAGTTAGTGTTCTGTTGTTTTGTAAAAATTAAAGTCTGTGTCAAAGGCTTAAATTCTCAATATTTATTTAGAATTTCGAAATCGAGTGCCACCTTTTGGGTATGTGTTTTGTGACAAATCAATAAACGTTAGAACCTCACATACAGGGTGTCGCTAAAAGGTATTCAAACAATTGCGCGATTTGAACGGTAATAACTTGCATAATTTAAATAGAACACCTCTGATATTTCATATCGCAAACAGAAATTTAAGTTGGAAATTTATCTATTCAAAATTCAATTTCTTCAGTTTTTTTTACAAAACCCTGAATATGATATTCCATTTTACAAAAAGCAACTTTGGGTTGAATCTAGTACTTGGAGTACCCTGTACATTATAAAACAATTTTGAAATATACCTCCAGTATGCATGTACTAATCCATAAAAGTTCCGCAGTTTTTATGTGGATTCATTAAGTTGCCTAACATTCACTGTCTACCAATGATATTAACAATGAAAAAAAGTTCTTCATCAAATGGAAGTAAAAGTTTGCTCTATGAATATTAATTGTATACTTAATCTAAGAACACATGATGACTATTTTTATATTTTTAGAGAATAAAGAACCAAAGCGCTTAAGGTTTGTGAAACTTCGGATTAATCCAATAAATTTTACTATTCCAGCCATTACATTCAACCCTTTCCCCATTTTGTAGACATACCAATCAATACCTTTCAAATTTTGTATACCTAAAATTTTGCTATAATAAATACTAATTAAATAGAGCTTTGTTGAGTAGTACTTTTTGTCCTTTATTTATTCATTCCTGCTTTTTTAAATTGAATTTGAAATACATATTATAAACTTGTCGACGAATTAATCATGCTGGCGCTGACTCTTCACAAAACTTTATAGACATAGAATTTTTTCAAGCTCTTTTTCATTGGAATGTTTTTTTGAATAGGGTTTCAATTAACCCATCACACTCTTGAGTAGATCACATCATCTCATTAACATTTACATAACATCAAACTTTTTATTTTAACTTGGTGTTACTGGAATGCGTTCACCTCATTATCGCTGTGAATATCAGATGAGAAGTCAGTAATTTAAACGGCATTTTAAAGTGCTATTAAAATTGGATCGACTATTTGTTAATACACTTTTTAATAGGTGGAACGTTCCGGATCTATCTTACGCCAAATTGCAGTGATGTTAAACAAGTTTTTTTCGTTCAATCCACTTAAGAACACGTTCAGTGTTGTATATTGTCTATTGTACAGTTGGTTGAAAAGTTTGTTAATATAAAAATACAAAAAAATGAAAACGAATCAAGTTTCTCACTATTATGAACACTTCCAGTGTTGTGTTGCGTCTGTTCTGTTGTATATTTGCGTCAAAAGTTTGATATAGAAATAAAAGCCAAAATCATACCAAATTTCTCACACTATTGTGAACAAATTAGAAAATTTGAAGCGTAACCACTTTTGCTCATCTAATCAAGTTGATATTAGAAGCGATTTCTTCTTTCGTGCCTTTTTTATTTACTCAACCAACCACTTTCCATATAAAGGCACCGGCGCAATTCATTACCTGTCTAAAATCTAGGCCGTTCCTGAGCATAATTACATTTCGAAATTAGATATTAATGCATTTAATAACTATCCTCTTTTTGGACTTCTACAAGATTTAAACTATAGCCGTGAAATTGTTAGGTATTTATTTTGATAGGATTGCGTCCTAACTACTTGGTTTAATGAGCTGAATATGGACCCGGTACTGCTCATTACCGATCAGCTAATTGTAAAATTTTTGTAAGCGGATCCTACAAGGAAATAGTGTGTAGAATGTGAGAAAAAAGTTGAATAAGGAAACACAGTAACACCTTAAACCCTACCTTAAATATTACATTTTCAAGAGAATGCATTTTTAAGTCTAATTATAATTGCATGCATTAATTTAATTTACTTTAAAAAATATATTGCCTCTACATCTCATGTTTTTGTTCATCGTACCAGGAAATCAAAAGATCGTGTATGATGAATTATGATTATATTAGTTTTTTATAGGAGAAAGCAAAATTGTCTGCGTTGAATTGATTATAACATACATCTAATTTACTTAGCGATATGTTTTATGCAAATTATAGTTTTACACCTAAGAAATAATACAATTTGCAGCTAATCGCTTTCATGACTACGAAACACCTTTTAATAAGTGATGTATGACTTATTCGAGAAACATTTAAAGGATATTCCATACAGAGCGCTAAACTGACAGATGAACATGATTCTAAACATTTATGTTTAATAATGTGCATAACTAAAGCATTGCAAGCACTGCAGACTTACAAATGTCTCATAAACGTTTCATGGTTGCTGAACTAAAAAAATAATAACTGATTATAGTCCAAGAAACGTGTTTTTATGACAAAAGTGTATACACATATTTAGGTTTAATTAGTTTTGGACTATAATTAAGGCCTCGTACAAAATTGAACCAACATCAATAACGCTAATAGGTGGATTTTGAATTTCATCTAATTTCCAGTTATGTTTCTAACTGGTATAGTTTAATTGCCGAACCATCCCTAATTATCTGGACCTATTAGATAGAGACACTTATTACTGTTGAAACCTGCTAAGAGCTATTAATATTTAATTTTCTCTAGGAATATAAAGCTACAGCTTTGCCCTAATATTCTTTCGATTATCTTGCAGTTGTCCCATAATGGCTTTAGTGGGATTTATAGCATTTCCGCGCAAAGTTCTGTTACTGACCGCTTCATATCCTCAAAAAGACTCATCTTGGTCATACAAAACTCGTGGTTTTGCGTCATTAACTATTAGCGTTTTGCTACTCTTAACTCTTGTGTATAATGCTTCTTTTCATATTGACAATTTTGTGGCATTATCAGAAAGTCTGTTCATATGCATGTCGGTGATAAATGTTCTCTTGAAAGCTATAATGCTATCTGTTAATCAAAAAACGTTATGGGCACTTGTGGGCATGTTGGAGACTTCTACTTTCACGCGGAATAAAGTGATGTACCAGTCGATTATTTCCAACTTTCTGCAAATTGTCCGAGTTGTGGACTTTGGCTATTTTACAGTTGTTTTTGGCAGTCTGCTATTTCGCAACTTATTCCCTGGTAAAGTATTCGATATTATTATACTTGCAGCGAACTTTGAATATCTGCGATATTTCCAGCGTTTGAAACCGGTTCGCTTCCCATGGAGTTTCCACATTTCAACGATGGTTATTTCCATTATCCATTTTACTTCTTCCAATCTTTTAGTCTTTTGCTAGTGGCATTGAACAATATGGCACTTGACTTGCTGGTAGTGGGAGCTGTATCAATAGCAGCCGTTCAGTTGCAAGTTTTAAACAGCAAACTAAGAGATACAAAGAAAAATGTACATGTATTACCCAACTATTCAATGGAGGATGAGGAAGCGCTTACCATTGGATATCTAAAGGAATGCTGTATTTATTACAGTGATATTGAAGGGTAAGCTCGAGCTCTTAGAATTGTTGCACGAACGTATATCAGAATAAGTTGATTTCTACTCAATTTTCAGCCTTGGTCAGGATCGGTTTATATATATTTTTGCAGAAAAATCTGTTACTGAGGTGAGAATTGAACAAAATAATTTTTATAGTATTGTAGTGCTTGAAATGTTGATTATTTTATACTCATTCTGGTTATCTGTATTTGTAAACCTGGCCAACCCTGAATTTTGATTGGAATCGCATAGCTACAAGTATCAACAATCAATCAGGCTCTCAAAGTGAGTAGTAACATTCCATGGCAATTGGCTCCTAATTTATGATTGTCTATAGCCAAGATATAGATAAGCATTGTGCTAAGTCATATTTGAAAATGAAATATTTAATTATTATAGCCGGGCCTAAACGGAAGGTACGAAGTAATACATTTTTACCAGATCATTAAGTGCTACCTTAGAGAATCATCTCCGACGGATCGCGTAATCAGCTATCAATTAAATAACATGAGGCTCGCTTTCGATAACAAATCGATTGGTAGGGTTCGATGAAAATTGATTACCGGCAATGGGCTAATTTGCAAATTGGAAAACGAGTTTTTCTTTGTTACTATTTTTATTTAATGCTCATGCACATTTGATGTTTGAAATTAAATGAGCAGTTGGATAGAATAACTCGTTATAACTGAGAAAGTTCCTTCTAACCCGTTGAAACAACGGTTTTTCTTGCATTAGACTAAAATTTGATGTAAATGTGTAAAAGTCCACTTTAACAGTGTAATTGCAGCACCACAATTGTTCTGCAGATTATGTTATAATAAAATGTCTTTGCAGCTAAAATGTCCTATATAATAATTTAATGCATTTGGGAATCATTGAGAAGTTAAAAGATATTAAAATGAATGAACAGAATTGATAAATTTGTTCAAAGGTGTGATAAGAAGCGTTAAATTACAAAATCTGCACATAAGATACTGTCTACATTTTAGATCGTGCATACTACGCAACATTTTAAATGTATAACAATGTGCAAAATGGGCATGCATAAAGTTTACCTTCATTTCCTCGAAGGAAATCGTTTCTTCTAAAAAGGGGAACCTTGATAAAGTCATACTGAAGACAGGACTGATAAGCAACAATTAAGACCACTGAAAGGTTTTACGCAGATTTTTCTTTTTGATAATTCTAGATTGCACAGTTTGATATTTTGATAGCAATTATGCAATTTTTATCAACAGGTACCAAAAAAGAGCATATTGATAAGTTGGTAATCAAGGCTAAGCGAGGACACATCTAAAACATTCGCTCATAGAATTCGTTTTTTAAAAGCTTTACGTACGTCTTTTTTTTTAAGTCTATTTTAAACTTAGTAAATTACATTTTTTTTATTTTCAATTTTGTCATGAAGTTTTCTTTTGGTATTTTGCTTCTAATGGTATTTTCAATATAGATAGATATAGATAGATTCTTCTTACCCCGTGAATAAATGGGCTAAAAATGTTTGTAATGGATTTATTTTGATTTTGCTTTAGTTGTGGACTTATGAGTTGTTTTTTATGTGAAATTAGATTGATTACAAATTATTTTCTCCATTATCTAAAATTTTTATAATGCTTTTTTAATTATCGGCTAATTTAAATTAAAATTTGAATATCGAGTTGTATGAGTACGTTTTCAATATACCAAAGTCTCGAAAGTGTCTAAGTCTTCCTTAATTCATATAGCGAGATAAGGAATTTCTTTGTTCTGTTCTTTTTCAATAGTGAATTTAATAGTTGGTTCTTGATTGTTAGGACATAATAAAAATTCATCAAATTTTCGTTCCCCTTGATTTTATACAGTAAAAATACAACATCAATATATTGCCACCAAATTATTGGTTTAAAATTTTTTTCCGAAAAATGTGTACTTAAACTCCCGAAAATGTTTTACTGAAAAATGATGATTGGTAAGGGCGACCCTATGGGATGTTAATTTCGATCTTTCATAATATGAGTATTGATATTTAAATTTTTTGAGATTCATATAATATATTTACATTATTAATATATTTCTTCATTGACTTTCTCGCTAACCGATTCTACAATTTATTGATTGTGATTGGTTTTCGAGTAATAAATTCCCTTATTATTAGGTAATAAGTACGTTAATTTTAAAGTGTTTTAGTATTTATTCGGACAGGCTGTGCCTTTAAACAATATGATACAACAATTTAAAAAGGTAATAATAATTCGTGTGTTAATGGACAAAATGTTTTATTAATTGGTTATTTTAAACTAACTGAGGATAGTGGAATATCACCGAAACGTTTTTTACAGAATGAATTTGTGATATCGAGATAAATGACCCAGGAAAATAGAAAAAATGTCAAATTATTTCCAGAGTGTTGAAGTTCAGGGTTTCAAAACCTTTTTGGGACTTATTTCACCTCAAAAATGTCCCCACGTTTTTTATCGCATTATTGTTATCATATTTATATACATTGAATGTGAAATAATGGCACTTTGTCAATCTAAGAAAATGCGTGAAGACATTCGGTTTTTATCAAAAGGCAAATTTTTTTAAAGCAATATACCCAAAAAAGGTTTTGAAACCATGAATCAACAAGACTAGTTCTTTGTTGGTCTAATTGCCAACAATTTTTTGTTGGTTCTCGTCAGTTGATAACAATATTTCGCTGTATGTCCGATTAATTTTTACAAGCGCTTCGAAATTTTTCTTCTGTGGATTGGTTGCAACACTTTTCTTTATTCCTATCGCCAGTTGAATATATCATTTAAAACCCAAATATCCTTTGGAATTATTTCGGGTAAAAATGCTTGTTTGGTATTGTCGCAGAGGCTTTTTGTCGGATTGCTTGTTTGGTTGCATTTTTGAAACATATGTACAAAAAACATGCTTTAAGACCTTCAATACTCGAAAATAGAGATAATTAGCCTGCCAATGTTTGCATTGAAAATTCATAAATTATTCACTGAAATAGCTTAATACTGCACTTAATAAAGAAGCATTTAATAACACCTAATGCAATTCCAACTAGTTTTAATATCATGTTACGTTTTCCAATTCGATGCCTTAGCCTTAGCCATCTATTAGCGATGTCGCATAGTTTTATTTTAAACGTAATATGTCGTTAAGAACGTTTTTAATTATAGAGCCCCACCTAACCGTCTCAAATTGCCTCTTATTAGTGGCAAAAAAGCGAAAATCGTTTGATGAAAAGAGTATAAAAAACCTGACCCTTTGCAATGCTCGGCTAGTACGAGATTGACTTTAATTCCACAATGAATTTAAGCAAATTTATAGAATTTCCCCGAAAAACTCTCGTCCTAACAGGTTCGTGGCCTCAACAGCACTCTTCTTGGCCATATCTAAGTCGGCGTATAATAGTAATGACAAGTATTGCTCTGCTACTGCTTGCTCTTGTTTATAATGCTTCTTTTCACTTCGACGACCCCATCAAACTATCTGAAAGTCTTTTCATATTAATCTCGGTAGTAAACGTTTTTTTGAAACTCATCATAATGGTTGTTAACGAAAAGGTATTCTTAAATCTCATTGCTAGGCTGGAAACTTCCACTTTTATTAAAGGAGGAATTTTATACCAGCCAATCTATGTTAAATTTATGGAAATTGTTCGGCCAGTGTACGTTACTTACTTTATTCTTGTGTGCGGATGTGTGACGTTTCGCTCCTCATTCCCAGGTAAATAATACAGTTTCCTAGCTTCCAATCGACGAAAATTGAATCATTTCAGCTTTTGATAATAAGAAATTTCCCTTGGATTTTCCGCATTTCCACGATGGTTATCCGCATTATGTATTTTACTTCTTTCAAGTCTTTAGCCTCTCTTCGGTGGCTTACGACAATATGGCAATAGATTTGCTCGTAGTGGGAGTCGTTTCAATAGCAGCCGTTCAGTTACAGGTTTTAAATAGCAAACTAAGAGATACAAAGCAAAATGTACAGTTTTTGCCGAATTATTCTATTAGTAACCACGAAACTCTTACTGTAGGATACCTGAAGGACTGTTGCATTCATTATAGTGATATAGAGGAGTAAGTTGTAGATTTGATGCTTCACAGTTTCTCAGGGGGTTTTGTGCACTTAAATGTAGTGATGAGCAAAGCGCGACAAGACCAAGACTATGCAAGTCTTGGTCTTGGAAGTCTTGCTTTTAAATAGAGCATAAAATTAAATTCATTTAATAATCACGTTAACATTAAAATATAACCAATACACAAGATTAAAATAATATCAATCTATGATATTTGGTTTCCGCATTATTTTCTTATTCCGGTAAATTTTGAAGTTTTCAGTGTCTAATAAGCTCTAGCAGACAGTCACTACGCAACTCTAATATATTTTTTAAAGTGTAGATATTTTCACGTTTTGTTATTTTGTTGTTACGTTCAAATCTTTGGTTCCTAATTTTATATCATCTCGGTTAAATTGAATCGGTGGTATGTTAAGCGTTTAAAACGGTTCAATTTTTTTAAGGACTACGAGGGCCCATGTAACGCAGAAAGTCCCGCAAGAGTTTTGCCAAAGTCTTGATATTGCAGAACATGGTCTTAATCATGTTTTTTGCAAGGCCAAAACCAGCCTTGCTAATCACCACTTAACTGTCATTAAGTGTGTTTGGATAGCGGTTTGGGACTGGATTAAAAGCTCCTTTTATTCTCTAAAAATGGGCGATATTTCGACCCTTTCTTTGGGTCTGCCTCAAACTTATTTTTTATATTCGAGTCGTTATGACATTAAATCATTATATATGTGTTGGATCGGCGAAGGCATTTTTCTGTATTTATTTATTGTCAATAGTTGATAGTGATGTAAAAAAAGTGGCCGAAACCTGCTCAAATCTATTTGTCTATTAATCTATTCCAATGCGGTCTTTTGAAAATAAACCCACTAAAATAGCCGAAAACAGCCAAGAACACGCTTACAGCTTAAAAGGCAGGAAAGTTAATACAATTGCATTCGGGTTGTTAAGTGCAGCTTTGAAAACATTGCAAAAGTTTGTAGGTCGAAACAAAAACAATAAATTATCATTTCAATCACAATTCACGGTGATGAAATTCATCTAAAGTATAATAGAAATCGTGGCACTCATATGTGTAGAGCCATCTTTTTCTCTCAGTTAAAAATTTAGAACTAGATAAATTAAAGTGAAATATCTGTATTGAAAAGTATACCACTTGCCATACAGCTGTTATTTTATTGTCGGAATCATTAATACAATTATTCTTGATATCTCTTATTCTGCTTTTATGACAATTTTTTAAGGTTTTTGCAAATTTTTGTTGCACTGTTTTAACTTACGATTTGTCCATAATACAAAATTCATGCGCTTGCGCAAAATATTTATTTCCCGTTGTAATTTACGAATTGCTTGCTTTCAGAAGATTTTACCTTCTTGTACAAACGTTCGAAAATTATGTTTAGAAAAATTCCGAAAATTTCAGTTCTTGCTGTATATATATATTCACTAAAACACTCTTTTAAATGAATTAATGAATAATTATTATTTTATATTTTTCCAACTATTAAATAATTAATGAAGAAAATCTATTAGATACTAAACTTTAGGAAGTTCTTTTGATTCAAAATTAAATATGTACGTTGATTATGGGCAACTTAATGAAAAGTCATACTTATTTTTGAAGCTGAACACGCCTTTGGGAAAAATGTGGAATTACAATTTGAAAAACTTTAGTTTTTCTCAGAATTTTTAATGAAAATTTTACATTTTTGTCGGGAGAATATCTATAAAACTATGACCGGGTGCATGTTTGCCTTAGTTAGACCTTTTTTAGGACGTTCAAAATTTCCATTGCAGAATATTTCGTGATTTTGACAATATCGGTTCATTACTGCATCTGTAGTTTCTTAGAGTAAAATACCAATATAACCAAACCCGTTAGAGACAAGGTCATAACTTGCCTAAAAAGCGTTCAGATTCTTTGCCAGAACTTAAATTTTTAATAATATTCAGCGCGTTTCATTTAAAATAAATAACCTGGCGTCTACTTTCCACTCACTTTCTTGAAAATATTCTGGTTGTATAAAGCAGAGCTGCTTTACAAGACCCAAAATTTTCGGACTTTCTGTAACTATATTTTGCGAAATGCAGACTTTGCTGATGTCGGTCGTTACTACTAAAGTGCGCTACTTGACTTTGCAATTTCTATATTTTAAGCATAATTTTGCCACTTTTTACGTTTCCAATCGAAAGCACTTGTACCAAATGATCATTGGAACTATTGAAAGTTTATGTATATGTAGGGAGTACAGAAAAAATAGTTAGAAAATGGTTCATAAATTTAGAAGCAGTATTTGATGGCACCTGCAAATGTGGTTTTTAACATTAACTGTTCACCTGTTGGTTTACTTGCGAATTAAAAAGACAAATAGAGAAGTAGGATAATTTTACGGATAGAACTATAAATTTGTGACTCATCAGTTCAGAAGAATGTTTAAAAATAATTTTTCAATTGATTAGAAGCACATGTCATGAGAGACCGCATGAGTTTTATCACAAATTGTACAACTTCTCACAAAACTCCTTAGCTTCACGTCATTACCTAACTTCACAATATCAGTTTTTGTTGGCTGTATTTCATATCGCGCAGCTTCGTATTAAAGAAGAGTCTTCTGTTGGGAAAAAAATACACAAAACGGTACGAAAACCGTATTCTTTAAACTATTAACATTGAATTTCGGAAAATATACGAAAACTTTTCAACGCTTTTCCATGCTTGTTCCTTGTGCTTGTATCCATCAATCTCAACACAGCTTTATTCGTTGCTTCTAAGTTCACTTCTCTCAGTATCAATTGGCCATTCTTATAACTTTAAAGTTCTCTTTAGGTACATAAAATGTCTCTTGGATATGTTTTCTATAATCATCTTGGTCCAACTTGGAAGCAGTATTGTAGTTATATGCAGTTCAGGAATGGTGTTGTTATCTGTAAGCAGCATTTGTTACTTTTTTAGCCAATTCAACCATGTCAATTTCAGCTTAAACCTTTATCGATTGAGGCTATTTCATTATACTTCTACCTTATTACAATGTTTACTGAACTGGGTATGTACTGCTGGTTTGGAAACTTTGTCTATGTCGAGGTGAGAGCAGTGCGAAGATGCCAATCTAAAACAGGAAATTAGTTGTTTGTTCACATTTCCTAGAGCTTAGAAGTAATTAATTCCTGCTACTTATCGCATTGGGAGGAACGCGGTCCAGCTGTAAGGAAAACATTGTTCATGCTTATGGAAAGAGCAAAACGACCCTTAGAAATCAAAGCGGTCAGATTCTTCACGTTGTCGTTTGATACATTTATTGTTGTAAGTACAATTGTCTAAGAACGTAATGGAAAGAAACCACAGGAATCACAATAAAAATTAGAAGGAGAAAAATAATATTTGTCAAGTGCTAAAGTTCTTGAAGTTCAGCATCTCTCCGTTGGCCCGTTTGGTTTGTTTTTTTAGAGAAAATCATTGTTTTATGACACACTAAGTGGTTTATTATCTGGGTATATACATTTCACATTTGTAAATAATTATAATGTTAATTATCTACGTGGTCTTTTTACGAAGATTTTTATTTTAAATTATTTGACAAACTCTTGCTCAAAAGTTTTGTAGCGGCTGGAGCAAACAATAGGTTAAAATCAACATATTACGCCCAGACTAAAATCGAAAAAGATGAGTCGAATCAATTGCATTTTGCAAGGGTTGCTCATATATGTTTTCAACATAATTGACTTGCGAAAAAAGAGAGAAATTCTACGGTATGTGAATGGCATGGCAGAAGCCGTTTATAAATTTGAAAAATAATTCATTCAATTCATAAGGAATCATTCTTTAACCTCTATAAACTTAAAATTACATGTGTACGATGTTTGATGATGTTTCAGCATTTTCTTAACAAGTTCAATACATTTAATTTCATTTAAAATTTTAAATATTCTGAAAAAGAAAAACCATCAGAACTTTTTATTTAGTTAGTAGTATTTAGTCAAATCATTTTCAACTAATTAAAACTTAAAGTGAACTGAAGAAAAAACGAAAAAGAAGTTGGCTCCAGTTGACAGATAAAAAGTTCTGATTTTTATTTTGTATCAATACACCTACGAATTCACCATCTGCCCAAAGCGGATCTCTTCATCAAAGTATGAGTTTTATATTTTAGAAAACTCACAGCTAGTTTCATTAAAATCGAGCGTATCATTCGCCTGAGGTTTCTAAAAAGACAATTTTTTTGAAGAACTTTGGCTATCAATAGCAGAAGAGTCGGACACTTTTTCTAAATAAAAGTTAGTAGAGATGATCTTCTTTTGAGCTAAAGAATGTCGCAGTAATCTTTTGACTATGTGCTTTCGGAACATCCTGTGTAAAGTAAAGGGTGTCTGTCAAAAGTTTGCAGAAAATTCTACCGTAGGTTTTTGAGGTGAATACATGAATATTCTGGATTTGTCTACTGAAAAATGGATTAAAATTACAAAATGGTAATGAACGAAACTGCCCTAAGTTTCGCACTGACAGATTTTTCGTTTGGCTGAGAAAGTAGAATCCGTTAATATTTTCTAAGCACGTTGTACAGGAGATCTGTTTCCATTCGATGTGATCATCCTGTATCGTAATCCTTGAAAGACAAAACAATTGTGTCCAACTGTACATTTTTCATTTAGAGATAAACCCGTTCAAAACAAGCTGCTTGTGAAACGCTCAATAAATAATAAATATTAATACGAATATTGTGACGATAGATAGTCAATAAGTACTTAGTTAATATATTTCAAATAGTCGCTGTTTGAAAATTTAAAATTTATTTTAGATTTTAAAATGGTCTTATTCGTACTTCGCTCTCCTGAGAAATTGGATGGCCGATTAAGATATTCAGCACTGCAAAGCATAGATGCAATTTTAGGCTTACCTGCAAACGAGCATTAGAGGTGGTAATAAATACCGTTTAGAAGCAACATACACTGTTTTCATTTAATCCTTTCTTAGTCAGCCAAAAGACCTGCAAATTTTGAAATATGGATTTAAAAATCTTTCAAATGTTTACGTCGCTCCACATATGAGAATCAAATTGATCGGCGATTTAGTTCTGTTTTAGAACAATTGTAGTTGCGCACAGGAAAAGGAATATCACTGAAGGTCTGCTTTATTGTATAAATATATAAGAAATTAAGATTCACAAGACGCAGAGATAAAAAAAGTACGAAATCCCTAAAAGCAACCATAACAGCACAAAACATTTTCTATTCTCGATAGCTGGTTGGATAAATGCCCCATTTAACCAAGCTTCGAATATAACTCTTTCAGTAAACGCCTCTAAATTCAAGTTGGATTTTTTAGGTGACTCTCTGTTTGCTCTATTACGAATTCAAGCGTTTTGTGCTACACGCTAGAATTACATTTTAATATTTGAACCACACCTCTTTTCTTTTAATTATCTGTTTTGGACTAATCGAGACCCTAATTATTAGTGTAGGGAATAAAAATAAGGAGACTTTATCAATATTTTCACTTCGCTATAAGCGAGGATTGAAAAATAATGGTTTACATGAGTTAAACTCGTTGGCTCCAGTCTAGATTGGAATAAACGTGAGTTCGGCTGCGATATTATTTGCTTTGTGGTTTACTATGCGCTTTAAATTTTAACTTATTTTGATGGTGGATAATTAGAAATGCACTTAAATACTTCCAAAATTTAGCCCCCCTCGTACGCGATTTTTAGGTCAAAGCTTTGCAATAAAAGGCTGGACTTCGTCACTAAACTGGTATTCTCCTTCAGTTTACTTCTCTTGCATATATAAAATGTGTCTAATCAATTTTCTGTCTTATCCGCGTAAAATCCTATTAATAGGGGCCACATGGCCAAAATACCATTCTTCTTTGGGGTACAAAATCAGACGAACAGTAACATTAGCCAATATTCTCTCACTGTTGCTTTGTTTGTCTTACAATGCTTCGTTTCATATGGGCGATTTCGTTCAGTTCTCCGAAAGCTTGTATATGCTGATTTCCGTAGTCAATGCCTTTTTGAAAATAGTCCTGCTTACCTTAAATGGAAAAGTGTTTTTGAAGCTTATTGGCATGTTGGAAACTCCCAGCTTCAAACGGTTCGAAACGTTATACAAAAAAATTGTGAAAGATTTTTTGAAAACTGTTAAAGCTGTGGAGTTTTTCTATTGGATTGAAGTTAGTGGAACTGTGCTGTTTCTATCATTATTTCCAAGTAATTCAATAATTCCATTTGGAAGTGACTTTGCTATATCGGAGTGTGTTTTAGTTTTTGAGTCTGAGGCGCTGCCAATGGATTTTCCTCACTTTAACAACGGCACTTTTCATTATCCATTCTATATTTTCGAAGCATTCAGCCTGTTTGTCTCTGCTTATGATAATATGGCGGTTGATTTGCTGACAGTAGGAATTATATCTATTGCGGCGGTTCAACTGAGGATTTTGAATCAAAAACTCGTAGATACCGATAAAAACATCAAGAATATGCCCAATTATTCAGTGGGTAATGTGGAACGACTTACAATCGGATACCTGACAGAATGTTGCATTCATTACAGTGATATTGAAAAGTAAGTACTTCGTAGTTTCAAAATCGCGGGTTCAAAGGTCCTTATTTGCTAATTTTTCTCATCAGTCGCACAAAAAAAAAACAAAATCTTGTTTGAAAAATTCGTTGAAAGTTCTGGAATCGATCGCGATTCTTTGCCCAAACTCTCAAGCTTGCGGTTTTTACATCAGCATCGAATGACCATTCTCTGTATGAGATTTTAATTTTTCATTAATTGAAACACAATTTCGATTTTTGTCCATCTCTAGTCAACTCATTGTGTTGTACTCATCATTTCCTTATTTTGATAAAATATTTCTAATTAATTATGGAAGCTTAGCAATGCTATCAATTTACATACCAAAATATCCTAAACCAAAGCAGGTCAAAATAGCAATCGAAACAGTAAAAACAATTCTATAAAAGCATTGAAAGAGGAAATTGAGAACGGACAGTAAAAAGTGGTTATTACCACAAAGTAAAAAAAGATTGATACAAAGCGGGTTGATAAAACGCTAAACAAAAACCCTGATAAATTTAGTACGGAATTTGTGGGAATTGCACAAATTATAACGGAGTTTGTATATCTCTGTAATTTGTATATCTCTTGGCAGATACGTTAAGAGTATCTTGGAAGTATTTTCAGTGATTATATTCGTTCAGCTTGGCACCAGTGTTGTGGCCATTTGTAATGCAGGAATGATGATCTTATCAGTGAGTCTTCTTCCAACGCATTAATGGATTAATTATTAAAAAATACTTTTAGGTCAAACTTGCCTCAATAGAGGCTCTCTCCTTATTTTTCTACATAGTCACCATGTTTGCCCAGCTGGGAATGTACTGTTGGTTCGGAAATTTTGTATATGTTGAGGTACGCCGAAGCAGACTTAAGCAAAGCTGTTGCGTAAAATTGAAAATTTTAGAGTTTAGAAGTAACAACTTCCTGTTACTTGTCGCATTGGGACGAACGTAGGTCAGCTGTTCGCAAAACTCTGTTCATGCTGATGGAAAGAGCGAAGAAACCTTTGGCCATTAGGGCTGTTAAATTTGCAACTTTGTCATTCGATACATTTATTGCGGTAAGTGCTACTCGAAAGTGTGAATATGTGCGCATGTATGGTAGGAATAGAAAGATTTTTTTTGAAAATTTGGAAAAGGTTGTTATCGTAACAGAAAGTCTAAAGAAATTTCGTTGCCGGAAAGCCTGTCAAATTGCAAACAGAATTCCTTAACAATTGTTCATTCCTTTATAGGAATACTATACAAATACGTATGTATTTGTGAACAGGCAAAAGCTGCACATTTATCTGCAGTATCAGAAGAATGATAAAAGAGGTTAACAGAAATTTGATTGATGATGATGATGATAATTAACAGATTTTGAGTTGATAGCTTGAACTTGAAACGCACCAGAAAAACTTTGCAAACGAAAGTAGCAGATGAAGAAAACTGAAGATGTATGTGCGTAAACAGCAAATAGTTCAATAACATAAAGTAAGCCTCGCTAACACTGTGTTGCTCGAATTGCGCTTGTGGCAGAATAATTCTGGAAGTCAAAACTTTTAAAGGACATTTTTATTTAGTTAAAATTTCGATGGTTGTTTCTATCGTCGTCGGAAATTGAGAAACAGTTTAATTTTTAAGTGATTATTTTGCTGTAAATATTTTTAGAAAAATAAAATTAATTCGTTTAATAATTTTAGTTTTGGCGTTGTCCAATAATCACTGTAGCGGAGTGAAATTTAGACACATATGAATAGCTCTTTCAATAAACTTTCAAATTAATTTAGCGAAAGATCGGCGCTTGGAGCGTTTTTCGTTAAGTTCTTTTTGACTTTCTTTACGTTGGAATGTAAAATTTGCCCGTATAAATATTGCAATGCGAACAGGCACTTTCTACAAACTGTCTGCAGTAGTTTGTGAAACTGACGATTAATGGAACAAAATGGAGGATGGGGCGCCAGCTTGCAAAAGGCTGGTAAGACTGGTCTCTAATCTGTAAATATTTCAGCTTGAACTGAGTTTAGTTGGATGGAGTTTTTATGGAGTCTTTATATTTCTCTATCTTTGCTTTGCTCGTTTCAAATAAATTTAGTTTGGGACAGAAATCCTGCTGTATTAAACACATTTTCTTGTTTCTGTCAGTTTACGCCAAAATGTCATAAAAAAAATGTTTTCTGCAGAATGTCAATATTTCAAGTTCGTACTGGTTGAATTTTATTTTGAATTTTTTTTTTGAAGAGCATGCTGTTGCGATAAACCGTTCATTTTCAAATAAACGTTTACGAAGCGCACATAATTCAACATTTTTACAAAGAAATTTATTTTCGTAAAACGCAATGCAAAATGTGTACCCCGCAACAGTTTATTAGGAAACTAGGCAATATTATTGTACTGCAGTTTTCGATCTTGAGAAATAGATGTTATTTCCAGAAATACTTTAAAAATGTTTCTTTTTCCATTCAATGCGATTCATACCTTTGCGATTATTTGACGTTTTCTTGGATTTTGTATTAGTTCCCGTTCATTTTCGGTATCTATTCTTTTGGATTTTCGGAGCCTAAATCCATTTTGCCCCTGTTCCTTTCAAATAGGTTCAGTTCAATTTAAATTCTGGTCAATACCAAAGGTTTTTTACAACATGGTAGACCTTGACTATTCGCTCTTGAAACAACGTTCTCTTCAAACCTCTTTAACATCTGAGGAGAATACATAACGAGAAATAGATGGATATAATGGAGAAACCTCAACTGCAGACAAAAATTAAAAATTTAAAACAAACTTGAGGTGTGCAGATGATATAAAGTTGATAGCAGGATCAGAGAGAAAATGTCGAATTTTCTTGACTTGGAAGAATAGGAGTGAAGAAAAAGCAGTGACAAAAATCGCCAAAGGACAGATTGAATATTGATTATCTTGCAAGCGCCCGGAAGTTTTTCGGGCACAAAACCCAAAAAGACGTTAATCATCTGGAAAGTTTTAGGAAAAGTAAATTCAGAGGACGCCGATCAATCTGGTGGACTTAAAGTATTCTACAGGCCACCGGAATTTTGTTTTGCAATGCTGTGAATAAATCCCGGATGGGAAGGCAATTCAGAACGCTAAGTTGCAAATACATTGAACATTAAAGAGAACCTTTCTTCAAAATTTTCCAAATTTTTAAACAAGATAAACCCGAAAATGTCTTTGTCTCACTGTTTACCATTGAAGTTTGTATTTTTTATATTTGCTTGAGTATACAGAGTAGTTAACGTTTGTCTTCTACTTATTTCAGATTATCAAATGGTCTTACTCCTATTTTGCTTTACTCAATAATTCGATGAAAAACTAATGTATTTAAGCACCGATGGCTGAACACAAGAAGACGCACTAAAATTTTACGAAATGCTTAACTCTAATATGAAGCATTTCAATAAAGATGATTATTTATGGCATTCCAGACAGTTTTCCTGCCATTTGAATTTTTTTACATACATTACTGCTACACGTACTCAACTAATCTTTTAAAATTCACTGATCTATTTAATGCAAAATATTGCATTTAGGCAAATTTGCCTTATCTGCGATATTTTATATTAAAATTTCCGATGTTTCTAATGACTCTAGACTGTTGCAGCTAGCGCTCTTTGGGAAGCACCAGCTAGATAATAGAAAATTTGCATTTTTGGGTCTAAAAAATCCAGAAACGCAATGGTTTTTGTAATAGTAAAACTAGTCAAGAATGTATTCAGTATAAAAACAAACGAAAATGTTAAACCTTGTACCCCGGAAACTATTAACTTTCGGATAAGACACATTTGCCTGAAACGCATCATTTTTGCTAAAACTTAATGTCAGTGAATTGCTGACCACCCTGTATAATTTTAGTAGAAACGGCAAAAAATATTTACCTACTTATTTTTTATATGTAATATCAGATGGCGTGATATTAAATATTTCGCTGATACAGTAGAGTGTTGTAATGTAAAGACAAACTGCGGTTTAATCAATGAATACGCGTTTATGAACATTGTAATAGTTTTCTATGGTCTAAGATTACTAACAATCCATGGCACATAATTGGCCACCTTTGTATAAACTCCTGGCCAATTTTTCAACCCGCAAGGAGACCGTCCAAACGATACCACTCCAACCGAGTACCAGTTAACATTTCCTTCGGCTGTAGCTTCAACTCCCATCAACGGTCCGCCACTATCACCTGTGCAAGAATCCCTTCCTTTCTTACCTCCAGCGCACAGTTGACTAGCGCCTAATCGAATATGGGCTTTCCTGTAAGTTTGAAAGCACTTTTCTTCGTTCTCAACTGGAACCTAATCAAGTGAATTAAATTATGAGCGTAATGGAAGGTGATAGAATACACACTTCCAATTTCAGCTTGATGTTGCTTGCTGAAGAGTTCTCAGTTCTGCCCCATCCAGCCACCACAAGGTTCTTATTTACGTATGATTTGCTTAAAAGTGTTGATGTCTTGGGGAGGCAAATCGGTCTAACGTAGTCTGAAAATAATACGTAAATCGTTGCTTTATTTTAAACATGAATGTTTCTCACCCGAATAATGCACATTTCTTATTAAGCGCAATAAAGCAATGTCGTTATACTGGTTTATGTGGTATGGGTCATAATTTTCATGGGCGATTGTTTCCTCCACAGCCACATATACGGCTGGAGGAGCACACTGTCTTCTTGCACCTACTGCTTCAATGCAGTCTTCTTTAGTGTCCGTATTGTATTCTCCTAGACGGACACTAACCCTGAAAATATATTGTAAGTAACGTTCGTTGCTTTATATGCAGAATTTTACATTTTCCAGCTCTTTGGCAAATCCTTTCCTTTGAGGCAATGAGCGGCAGTTAGAATATATCGGCTATTGATCAATACTCCTCCACAATAAGTTTCTATCTGTCCATTAGCTGTAGACCAATCGCTCATAAGAATCCAACGTTAATCGCTGCATAAAACTTACGTCTTTCGTATTCCACCAACACCATCCAAGGGAATTCGTCTAGATCTGCTTTTTCTCCTCCATAAATTCTATTTTGAGCTCCAGTTCCGCAGATGTCCGTGTCTGGCAGCAGATTTGACACAATTGCTTCACCTGAAAGTACTGTTAAAATATTTATTTTATTAAGAGAGTTGAATTTGAATAACAAAACTAGAAATTGAAGCGTTTAGTTCTCCTGCCAAATCATCCAGAAAATTTGGATTTTGTGTTTATTTCTTTTCAATTAATGCAATTTATTCTGGTGGAAATCTAGAGTAGTTTTGCACTGGGAATTCGCCTTTTTCACTTGACACTCAGTAGGAATTTGAAACTTTTCTTCGGCAGTCACAAAATAAGTCGCAATAAAGAAACGTTTTTCCCAACTTTTTTCTAGTAATGAAAATGGGCAAGTGAAACTACGTATTTTTAGGCCATTTTCTGGGCATTGAACTGACAATCATAATCATCTTTTTTTTTGTTGGCAATTTTTGGCCATTTTATATTTAGTTAAAAATCATAATGATTTCCTGTAGTGAAAATGGACATGTTTTACATACTTTTTGGCAAAATTTAGAAGAATATTTTTCTCGCACTAATCATACGTCATCATTTCAGGCGCTTTTAAGCTTGTTAGTCGACAACATTAAGTTGACTTCTTCGTTTAAGACCCTTCGTTTAAGACTTTAAAAAATTCTTATACGGATACTTAAGAAAATTTGTATTTCAATAATGATTTTTCTATGTTAAAAATTTCGAAAACCCAGTGAAAAAAGCTTTCAACCTCTGCGACTTTACCAACCCGCTTTAACAAATAAATTAATATAAATCGGATTCTTTTAAAATTTAAAAATTAATCAGCCTCGGATTTTCTCTAATCTCAAAATTATTTTCCGATTTAATGATCAATTAGTAAGAGGAAAGGTCTATTTAGTAGTTTTGCGGTTTGCGTTTTCGATCAAAAAATAAAAGTTAAACCGATGACTTCAGCATTTGATTTGTTTTGAGCAAATGCTGAAAACATATTAATATAATAACTTAATTTTCCGAAAATAAAAATGCGTTTCCAATTTTATGATCAATTAGGAAGAGAAAAAGTGTTTTAACATTTTTTGTGAGATGCACTGTGTTCAAGTTTAAAAATGTAAGTCGAACCGTTGCAGTATTTGAGTTGCTAAGTGCTCCAAAAATATTAATGTAAGCCGGATGATTTTAGTTTAAGAAAAGCGACTGCGTTTCCAATTTTGTGATCAATTAAAAAGGGAAAAGGTATCTTAACATGTTTTTGTGGCTTAGAAAGGGAAAGTCGATTCATTCTATTATTTGAATTGCCAAATGCTCAAAACATATTAATTTAAACCAAGCAATTTTAATTTCTAAAAAGTATCAAACCAAATTTTTTCAAAAATTAAAACCAGGTTTCAATTTCATGATCAATTGGGAAGGTAAAAGGTCTCTTGAAATTTTTTTGCAAAGCCCCATTTTTGAGTAAAAAACTAATAAAAGTTTAACCAATCGCATGCTTTGGTGCATTTTAGTGCAAGAATTGGACGCATAGCAACAAATCAGTATTCATGTGATGAAAGATACCTTTAAAATTGCTCCAAAATAATTAAATACTGAAAAATCATACTGTTGGTCACAATTTCAAAACGAGCCTATCACTTTGACCGGTTCAATGCCGACATACTGACTATGTTTTCAATGTCTGTGAGCCAATTTCCGGAAAACTATTGACTTTATATTCATCCCAATTATATTTCCGCATAATATCAGCCGACTATCAAGGATTTTCCTAATTTCCATTAGTTAATAATAATAATGTCTCTCATCGGTGACATCATCATGATCCCCATCAATCTCACGGTACTTGGAAAATAACTCATCGTTGGTAGGAACACAGAATACACTCACCATTGAAATTAGAAGCTGGAGTGGTTGATGTGGTTAATGTGGGCTCTTCAACAGGGCAGCAAACTTTAGGAATACTTCCAAAGAAACCACATTGAGACCTCCTAAGCAGATCAGCCGTAGCTGAGCTGATTGGCCTCTTTTTCAGTAAGCTGAATAGAGGGTCACATTGCATGAGCGAGATGCATTCGCCGTTCAGTTCATTGGGCGTTCGACAAATATTAGCCAGTTCTATAAGCCGAAATATTAGAGCCAACTATGCAGAGAAGAGTAAATACTTACGTCCGTAGCTAATGTGCATTCCTATAAGTAAGACCACAATAAAACAAATACTCTTCATGGCACCTGAATGCAATACTTAACACATAGATAAAACCAGGATGCATTTATATCATATACAATTCAAATGAGCACTATTCAAGACATTGAAAACCGTTTGTTTAATTATTAAAGTTAATGTTGAGTATTGCAATTTGTTTTTTGCCTGCACTAACCCACGGGAATCTTTCACTGTGTTCAACGGTATCACGAAGACAAACAGTTCAGACTACTACAGTATTTAGTATAATCCTTGACAACCTTGGTCTTTCCCAGTTAGGCAAATTCAAGCCAGCTCGTCTAGTTAATCTTGAGTTGGATAAATTATTGTCTAGCCGACGGTCCACTAATGAATAAGTAGGGATATTCGAAAAAGTTGGCCACCACAAGTAATTTACAGATTTTCATTGCCACTAACTGTTTGATTTTGTTCGGTTGCGTTTCACCCGATGCTAGAAAAAAACCGAGAACCAAAAGCACTTCCTCTGATAATGTTGGTTTCTGATCAACTTGAAATTTGCTGTTTAGCCCAAAAAAAATTGATATTCTTACAAGAGTTAGAACACAGTTGCCTTCTTCAGTAACAAGACGCTCATCGGCACTCGCGTCAAATCACCAGCTAAAGTAACTTCTTCAATTTTTTTTATTACTGGGTTTTTACTTGATAATTTTCCGCAATTTGCCTCATCGTTGCACTATTTTATTATTTGAAATGCCTGGATGAGTTTCCTGAAAATTTGCAATATTTGTTGCCTTATCAAGTGCAGTTGGCAGGTAATAATTGGCATTCAACGAAAGAATTAATAGAACATATTTGAAGTCATATTTACAATATTTCCCAATACGTGCTGTCTTGAGATACTTGTAAGTGTCAAAATTAATGGCGAGAAAATGCCTCAAAGTATTGAAAACCGGAAAAAATAAACTTAGCATCGATTTTTTAATGTTGTGGTTGGAAAACTGTGTGATACAGTTTTCATGCTCTTTCTGAGCATACGCTGACATAGTTTTGCCAATTAAGTCCCCATGTATATGAATTTGTAATTGGAATTTTTGCACAACTTGTATATTTTTCAAAAGTGTCGATCCTTAAAGCTTTTAACATTCATTTAAATATTTAATGTAGGTATTGGTTTAAAGAATTAAAGAGATTGCAAAAGTGTGAATTTAATGTTTAGAAGACTAGCACTTAATATAAGGATGCAGATTGCTTTATCTGAAGTGCCAACTTGTTTAGGTTTGGAAACCTAAAGAAATGTTTAAAATGTTCTAAAACTGCAAGTGTGCGATGTAGTTTAAAGATAATGCTAATTACTACTCGACGCGAGTCAAAATCAGAGTTTTATGTAATGTACTTAGGCACTATCTTATTAAATTGTTCAAAATGTTGTTCAGTTTGATGTAAACAATAATAAAGCTTTTATTTTTTTTTTTCAAAATCTTGTTTGAAAAAGTCGTTGAAAGTTAAAGTGAAAGTCACTTGCTTTGTTTTGTTGTGCGTTTTTGTTTTTAAATCAGCATCGGATGATAATTATCTGTTTGAGATTTCGACTTTTGTTTAAATTAAAAACAGTTTCGATTTTTTTCCATCTCTAGTCAATTCATTCTGTTATACTCATAATTTTTTTGTTTTGATATAATACTTGTGTCGTGTGACTCGCGTCCTTAGATGGGAGCTATAAAATCATTGTGGCCCTTAAGGCAAGTGCGGCAGTTTATCAGTGTAGTAATTTTTTGGATGATTCATGGATAGAAAATGGAGCATAGGGCGCCAGCTTGCAAAAAGTTAGTATGAATTGTCCCTAATTTCTAAATATTTTAGTTGAAACTGAGTGCTGTGTAGTTGTACGGAGTTTTTATGCATTATTTATGTTTCTCTCTATTTGGTTTGCTGGATTCAAATAAGTTTAGCTTTGGAGATAGTTCCTGCTGTATTAAACAATTTTTTTTCTTCCTTTCCAGGTGACAATACGCAGCTTTCGGTAAGCTTAGCATTACTTTTCCCCTGATTGCCATCTACATGTAGAACTTTTTGTCCCATATTCATCAACTGACTCGTGAGATGGATTTGGTATTAGTTCTTTCGTTGTAAATTTTTAAACTTAAAGAACCGCTTGAGCTATAGGAATCTCGGTTCCAGTATTCAATACAAGAAGCATCATCGTACTGATACTGTGTCTTTGGTTCCGATTAAACCATTGATTCCTTCACAAGAAATTTGTAACTTTGGGAATATTTTGGTCGCCTTTATATTTTTACATCATGCTCATCTGAAGCTTGTCATATTGCAACCATGGGTTCCAATTTTGTGCTTTTTGGTAAACAGTCAAGAGTTTTAGTCTTGCTTGTTTTTCGATTGTGAGAAATAGATGTTATTTCCAGAAATACTTTAGAAATGTTCTTTTTCTTTCCAATGCGATTCACACCTTTTCGATGATTTGAAGTTTTCTTGGATTTTGTATTAGTTCCCGTTCATTTTCGGTATCTATTCTTTTGGATTTTCGGAGCCTAAATCCACTTTGCCCCTGTTACTTTCAAATAGGTTCAGTGCAGTTTCAATTCTGGTCAATACTAAAGGTTTTTCGCAATATGGAAGACCCTTACTATTCGTTGTTGAAACAACGTTCTCTTC